TCTCTGTCTTTGCATACCTCTCCTTTTTTTCCTGTTTTTTTTTTTCTTTTTTTGTTCTTTGTTCTTTGCTCTTCCCTGAGGAAGAAAGGGATAATAAAATTTTCTGTTTTCATTTAGCTTTCCAGATGATCTTTGTGTACTTTACCAGACTGCAGCATAGAAAACAAAGCCTTGTTTATTGCCTAACAGCATATATGTGTTTTATGATTAATGTGATGTGTTTGTAATACACGGGACTGATAATAGATAGGGAGATCAAAGTCTTCTGTGAATTGACAGCAGCACTATAAACAAGGTGAAAGGTTTGCAGGTGTTTCCCACACGGGTGTTACACAAAAACATATGGCCCTTCGCCATGATGCACTGCGTGCGCGCTCCATCTATTCCTGCGCAGCGAGGCAACGTCGCTGTGAGCTTTGCTCAGAGAGCATGTCCGTGGCTTAGGGCCTGGGGGATGCTATTGGCAGCAGATGACCGTGCGGCAAGACCAGAGAGACCTTGGGGGCACAGAAAGGATAACACTAAATTGGTCCTTCAAGTTAAAAGTAGCTGATTGATCCGCTACATTGCCTGAGAACAGAAATCTGCATTCATGGTGGGGGTGGCGTCTCTGGCGAACATTGGAAAGGGAGGTGGTGGTCTTGGGTGGTGGAGGAGGGATGGGGCAGTCCAGCCTGACTCTCGTCTCACTGTTCCTACCTCAGCTCATGGCTGGGCTGCCACTCATCTCTTGGGCGTCTCTTTTCTCCATGGGGTAACTTCTGTGGCTGTGGCCATGGCAGGTACTAGGGTGTGGGTTGGGACACCTGGGCCACATGTCTGCAGGAAGCAATGGGGGGGGGACGGACACACATGACACACATGCAAAAGAGAAGTCATTGCTGCTTGTTCTTGCCAATAAAAGACATATTTACTAAATGACTAAATATCTGCCAAGAGGACCACAACATGCTGGGTGAAAATGAGGGAGAAGTCTCTGTCCCTTTCAGTAATTGCCCTAAGAGTGATGCTTGTCCGCTCTTATGAACCAGACTGCTGCAGTTGAGTGTGTCAGGTGTTTGTAGCCTCTTAAGTTGCTAAAATACTCTGAATGCAGATTGGCTTCTTTTATTCAATATACTATAACATAACCACCCCCTTGACCTGCAGGCCCTTTGGTAAACACACTGGAGGGCAGCCTTCCTTTTCGGTAACTTGGTATAAATCCATGCCCTCCATCAAATGCTTCTGAAAAACTTTTTTGCCTGGCCCTCCTGGGGACGGTGCAACACACGGCTGCCCAATTCTGCACCAGCAGCCCACGGGGGCAACGGCTCGTTGTCCACCCTTTCATTTGCTGGAGGAAGCTAACGCTGTCCTCAGGCTGTTGATCTACTGGTCTTCCCTGTCTCATTTTCCAACAGAGCTAAGGCTGCTCGTCTAAAAATGTGGATTTTTTTCTCTATTTTAGCGGGCTGCAGTTTAAACTGAAATTTAGTAGAAATTGCCCTAATGGCACAATTTTAATAACCGGGGGCTCATCCACTCTTGAAAATTACACTCATGCATGGGCCATGAAATTTATTTTTACTGGTATGGCAGTGTTACAACAGATTCCCACGTGGACAGAGTTGCATTGCTTGGAGGATGCCGTACTATATTCACACCTTGTTTCTATGCAGGAATGAGCTAGGTAGTCACAAGCATTTGTATTACATTCTGAATGCCCTACATGAAATTATAAAGGATTGGGTCAAGCAGTGCAGTGGTACTGTCTCGCTACAGTTACAGGTAGGACTTCTGTGTGTGGACGAGCCCTGTAAAAAGATTAACCTACAGAAAGTTAATAAAAAGTGCTGTCCTAAATTATTCATGAATCCATTTGTAATGCACTTGCCGGGAGGCTTTTGTTTTTCTCAAACTCTTATTTATTAAAATCTGACAAGAATATCGGGTTTTGTTCAATAATAAATCTAAGTCTATGTGAGGCTGGTGATATCCTCATGTAGTAATACAGAATCAAAATGAAGTTACATGGCAGGGGTGAATATGTTATTTACTTGGGAAGAATAGATTATTGTTCAGGAGGATTTTATCTTTTACTTGGCATTTTGGAACAAGTAAAAAAAAAAAAACCAAGCTCTTGTTGGGAGATATCCTCTCGGTTTGTGACTGAGGCTTTGATCCTGCAAAGGATTTTAAATATGCTAAAACTTAGTTAAGTATGTGGCTTTATATGTTCTGGACCTGTGTTTGCTAAAAGAAATAGCTCAGATGATCTTGTTTCACACTTAGCTGTTCTTGTCCTTTTTCCTTAACTTCAGGGGAAGATCACAGAAGTCATGCTCCTAGCCTGTGGATTTTGACTTCCAAAGCATGTCCATACACACCCTCTTCTTGTTGTGTACTAGAAAAACTTAGCAAGTTTATATACAGAAAGTAGGAGAAAGGAAGAAAGCCAGGGAGAGAGCTTTCACTGTCTGGGGTACAATAAAAGATGATAGTCAGTGTGTGCTATACAGCAGTCATTCCGTAAAAGCAGGCAGAACTTTGCTTAAAAAGCAATTTAAGATATTTTTTCAGTGTTTTTAGTTCATTAATTTTAGGCGATTTTTTTTCCCCTTCTCTTTCTCATTCTCTGCCCTTATTTATAACTGGATAAGGAAAGGAAAACCAGCTGCCTATAGATAGAAAGTTAGAGAAGAATAAATAAAAAAGAAAGAGCTTAGTTGTAGAAGCAGAACTGGGAGTTCGTGTGCCTGGTCTGAGTTGGAGGATGATGAATAGATTTGTTCACATAAACTTAGCTTGTGAGTCACTGTCTCATAAAGGCATTTGAGTAGGAGATGCTCCTGTCCCAAATTTTAGTCCTGGCTGCTTTCAAGCCCAAAGTGCACAGTGACATAAGGGCTCTGACTGCAAGTGTTGTCCTCTTATTCCAGTGGACCAGGGCTGGAGCTCTGCAACTTCCCAGCTTGAAAGAAACCAGAAGTGTTTGTCTCTCTCTCACACACACACACACACGTGCTTTGCATGATGTATCATGTGGTGTCTCTTGGTGGTCAGAGTTAAGCTGTTTGGGTAGACGTAATCAGCTTCTGATTCAGATTTGGAATCAGGTGTTAGGGATTTGGTCCCTATGAAAAGCTGTGTCATGGAGGACCATGAGTCACTAACCATTAAATGAGACAAGGAGCTTGATAAACTTGGAGGGGGGAAGAGAAAAGCAAGGTGTGAGCGTGAGAGGTCAGTATTCATGGCTGATCATCCCGGATAGGTTTGGGGTGGCACACATCTTCGCCTTGGGAGCTTGCTTTGCCTCTCTAATGCCAGAGAAATTGTACAAAGTACATGTGTAAGGGGCATGTAGGGCATTATCCTCTTTTGCCAAAGACTGTGATCAAAGCACTCTTTAAAATGAGGCCTCAGCTCTTTCTTATGCATCTATTAGGATTCTGAAGAAAAGTTTGACCATTAACAGATGCTACTTTGCTGTGGTTTAGAAAACTGGGAGAGGTGAAAAAGGTTTATTTTAATAGAATGTACAACCTGTATCTAAGGTTCAAGTGGAGCCTGTGGGTTGGATTTGGGAAATAACAGTTCCCTCTTGAAACCCACCAGAGAAGAAAAGATCTCTTCCTTCCTGAAGAAAATTATTTTCTTGTTCTTCTCTGCCATTTCTTTTGTTATGAGTTGTGGTGGTACGGGGGTCAAGGTGGACTGTGAAACTCTGCTTTGGAATCAAGATATTTATCTGACTTGTTTGCCCCCGGTGAAATCAGTGCTGCTGCAGCTTCATTGCCATGGGAACCTCCAGTTACTAAATTTAATTCAGCCCAGGGTTTGCTTGTCTGTTCTGTTGCTGCAACGTAGACAGGTGATAAGCAATATATTGATACTAAGCTATATCATACCAAAATGATTAGGCATCCATATTACCACGGTACTGCAGCATCTGTGGTATTGCTCTTGTGTTCTGTTCTGAGCTGCCTGGCCCTCCTGTGCCTGCCTCCAGCCTCCTCTTCCTCTCTCCTGGCAGAGCAATGGCAGTGCCGCCTTCATAGTCTTTGTGGTCCAGCAATTGGCAAATGTAGGGACTGCAGGCAACCCCTGCTTGCTGGTGGTACCTCCTTCCTCCCGCCGCAGAGCAGCCGAGCATGGAGCACCCATGGGCCTTGGGGGGAATGCTGCTGGAGAAGGGAGCTCTGCACCCCTAGGAGCTGTGGGGTTAGGGTGGGTCCCAGTACTTCTGTGACATCCACAATGGTGTGACCAAGGACAGACCCTGGCTCCAAAGGTCAGATTAAACTGGAAGCATGAGATAGAGGGTGTACGAGCAGAGGATGAGAGACCCCTATCACCCAGACTTCTAAAGTTTTATTAATTTCTTTAGATTTGGTAGAATTTTTTTTCTTTTTTTTTCCCCCTTATTGGCATTCTGTAAGGTTCAGATGTATCCATTAGATGGTCATGTTCACGGTAGTGCAGAGCCTGGGGTCTGAGATGCACTCGGTTCCAGTGCTAGTGGAAGTGGTGGAAGTGTGCCTTTACTGTAGCTGTGCTGAGGCGACTCGCTGTAGACAGGGATTTGCCATGGAAAGACATTTCATGTGGCTAACTGCAGGATAATCGATTTTGTAGAGTTTTCATGATTATTTGGCGTGTTGGTTACTAATGTTTTGCCCCTCTGTAGTTTGATTTAGTGATACTGCATCACTTTGTACAGAATTCACAGTGAGTGTAGAGTGTGTAAACCTGTATGTTAAAATGTTGGCTGAGTATTGATTAATCAGTAAAAGGTTTTAAGCCGTTTCCTCTAAATTCCAGGACCATGCATCTTAGTATTTGAGAAGGATGGGGAAAGATACTGATTTAGCCATGGGAATATATGTTCTGTGATACTTGTTTGTGGCAAGTGTTTTCAAGGCAACAGAGGTATTTTAAAGAAGGTGATGGTTCTCTGGTTGACATTATCTGCTAAAATGGCTCTCTACTTTCTTTCTTTCTTTCTTTCTTTCTAGGTACTACATTGGTCGCCAGGTGTTTGTGGTGGTCTCCACACCAGACATGATCAAGCAAATCTTAGTGACTGACTTCAGTAACTTCACCAACAGAACTGTAAGTAGATGGAAAGGTTGGCTTTTGTGGACGGAGGTGGTGGTACTGTTAATTTGAGCTCAGACCAAAAGTGACTGCAAGGGAGCTGGAAATAGAGAGGGGGCAAAAGTGCAACACGGCTCAGCAAAACTTGGAGGTATATAAACTCACTATATACATTTCAAAGACTCCTCTTACCAGGATGCTCCGAGGATGAAAGAGAATGGCCTTAGAAGAGATACAGTGCCCTTGTGGCTGAGGCCCCAGGTGGATGCTGAGGGTGGAAAGGCTTTCAGTATCCAGTTTTGCCACCGACCTCCTGTGCAATCCTGAGAAAATCACTTCCTAGCTCTCCTCCTTGTTCTCAATCTGTAACATGGGGCCAGTGCTGTTTGCTTTCTCCCACCCATGGTCTGTTTTGGTTTTTTAGACTTTCTAAGGCAGGAGCAGGCTGCTTGGGACAGGGACATGCCTCCTGCAGCTAACATGGGTTGTTTTGTCATGCTTACTGCTCTGAAAACAACAAATAGCAAAGAATGAATTTGGGGTTAGCAAGGACTTATACATACGCTGTTGGTTACTTATTTTACTTATCTATATACACATCTAGATTAAAAAACTCTGGTTAGTACTGGTTAGAACAAATAATGAGGGGGGAATGACCAGAGGATAGTAAAGATTTCCAGCGGTTCCTCAGCATTTTACAAGGAAATACTGTCACGGTGACCGCACGCTGCCTTGGCGCCATCCGGTCCCTGCTTCCTCCTGGCCCCTTTGTATGCTCAAACCTGCTCACATAAACTCACGTGTATTCAGGAGTGTTGTTTGTGCCCTCAGGGAAAATTTCATCTCCCATCAGCTGTCTGCCTCCCCTGCCCCTCTGATCTCTCTGCAACCAGACAGTCTGTTTGCAGACTGCTTGTCTCCTTTGCTTGCTTCTTTTGGTACATGAGGTTCATCTTGTGAGTACCTGTATCTTATTAAATAACCACTTGTTCCAGTCGCGCTCTGTTCTGCCTGTAACTCACATTGGAATGGAAGAATCCCAGTGTGCAAGCTTCTTAGGCTGAACTTGTTGTGTGTGGCAAAGGTCTTTTCCCCATTTTCTCTCTATTTGAAGGAATTTCCCACCCCTTCCCTTCTTCCACCCCCAAGAAGGAACCCCATTTCTTCCTGTCTATAACTTTCCCATGCTTTTCTCCTGGATATTGGATAGGAATAGATTGTACCCACTATTCATATCAGTAGCTGGTGCCCAAATAACACCTCCCTGAAATTAGAGAGCATTCCTTTGAGGGTACATTCAGATACTCGTTCTGTTCTTAATTTTAGTCAGCTTTGTCATTTGAATATATCTGTCTGTGCATTGTCACCCTTCTTATTTGGCAAAATATTTCTTTCTCTCCAGGCTTTTATGGTCAGAGGTTTATCTCTCTGTCTTGTGGTCTGTAACGTTTGCATTCCTCTCTCAAGTTCAGGTAGGTCAGGTCACTGTAGCCAGTCTCTCTCTTACTCTCTCCCTTTTTTTCTTCATCAGGGATCTGTTAGGTGTAGCTGTCTGTGTATGTTCCTGTCTTGCTCTTTTCACTTGACTGTCCCCTGAGCCATTTGTGGCTTTTCCTGCACACTATCCTGCTTTATGGATGAGGAACTGAGGCACAGACTGAGTGACATCCCCGCCACTAACCAGAAAGCAGATGAGAAAATTTAACTCCTAGCCCTCTCTTTAACAAAATGAACTGTTTACCCCCTGTGCACTGTTGCTATTTCTGGCTTACTTAATGCCCATGAGTCTAATACAGATGAACTTGCTTCATCTTATATGCTTTTATCTGCTTGTTCCATGGTCTTCTCACACAGCTACAATCTTTGAGCGTTGTTATTTCTCACTTTCCATTTTGTTCCCCCCAGTTCCAGCCATTGCTTTTCACTCTCTGAGGATAAGCAGCCTTCTGTTTCTGGGCCCTTCCACATCTAACCTGGGGATCTTTATCCCCTCGTGAATCTTCACACCGGAAGCTGCCTCTCCTCTTTTAGTTCACAGTCAGCTCTTTCGGTGAAGTGTTTGGCTAGCCTGTATGCTAATGATTCTATAGGAAAATAAATAATGCTGGATGGTACGTAATGAAGGCCAGTGGAATTTATTCAGAAGTGATTTTGGTTGTACGTGAATAATGGCTGAAGAGTGAGAGTGAGAAAAGCACTTTCCAAGTAATAGAATTCTTTCCTCTCATATTGACTGAATAAATGTCATTTTAAGACTTTTAATAGGCTTGCTTATATTTGTATATTTTGAAATTACTCAAAGCAAGCTCCTCTACTTTAAGTGACTGTTTCTATTTGCCAGTGGAGAATTCAAAAAGCAAAATAGATCCTGCTACCTTATTTCACCCATTTCTTCCCCAAACAACCTATAGGATTGACTTTGGAGTCAGTGCTGTTCACAAAGCTGGGCTAATATCTTTCAGTCCAGACATGGCAGGTGCTTATTATTTCAACCCAAAGCCTTTTTTTTAGCTTAAGAGCATCAGTCTTTAAGGGTAGAAGGGTGGGAAAGGGGGTGAGACCACTGGGTTTGAACAGGCCTTTTCTTTTCTTCCCCCACCTCTCCACATGCATTTCCAAAATCATGATTCGTACCTCCTCCACCAGAGGTGAAATGTGAGTTATCTGACCCAGAATGCCACCAGGAGAGATTGTTCACCACACTCTGTGTAGCAGTTGTAGCAATCATATATTAACGAAGTGTCACTAAGTTGCAGGCTGTGCAGAACTAATTCTAAAAGCTAAGTGTATTAGGGGGTAGAAAAAGTTTATATTCCATGCTTATTTTCCTGTTATTTCAATTCATGTTCATATATATATTGGAGTAAGGGACAATGGGAAATAGAACTCGGGAAGGGTTGCAAGCAGTGGCTGATGTACTTGATAGACAGAAGGGGATAAGATGATGATGCAGTGAACTCCGAGCTTTTATTAAAGCTGTCTATAATGTGATGTCATGCCATTGAGTGCTCCTAAGAAGAATGACCTTAATCTGGGATTGAACACTTGCTGGCTACTTGCTGGGAAGTCATCAGAAGACCTTTATGGAGTCAGGGGGGTTTAATCTCCTGAGAGGACTCTTTTGGAAGCATCTTGTATCCTGTCTCCACATCCAGAGAGACCTGGACCACTTGTACACTTCTCTCACATGGAACCTACCTGCTCACTCATTATATGGGCAAAGTAGATTTTGCATGTGAAGAAGCCAAACTCCTGTTCGTTTTATCCAATTATGTTTCCCTTTGATTTTATACGTTTCACATCTTCACTATTAATATCTTTTGAATACAGCTGTAAAAAGCCTTTTAGGTTCCCTTGCTCTCTTCTGTTGTTTCTGAGTTACTGATTAGTAGTTCTTGTGACAGAAGTGTATGGTGACTGCAGATCAAATCTGCATTAAGGTTCACTTCCTTTTAGAACAAGCAACCAAGTCTAGCATGCAGGGTGTTATTCCCCTGTAGGCATGGGGTGTATTTATTGTTAGCTGTATAATCACAAGAAGGCAATAATGACATTCTACTTTCCCACTTAATTTTGACTTCATTAAGGTGAGCATTGTAGCCATTTAAAACCAAAAATGTCTACTGCAATGTACCTTCATACTTGAGACATATGAAGCCTTTTCCCTATGTTTTTAATTATAGTTGAAGAAGAAAAGATGAAAATTAGCTTATAGACCTTTTGCCAAAAAATAGGGAATTGATTTTAATTTAGGTTAACCATGGAAACCTCAGCCAGCATTCTAGGCAGGGCTGTGCTGCAGTAAATGATACCTTTTTCTCACAACTGTGGTAAGTCATCTCTTGAATAGAAGTTTTCTTTTAAGAGCACTAAGACTGTTTTTAGCTGCATTACCGCCGTGTGAGTGAGATAGGTTTATGATGTTTGTTGCATTCTGCCAGGTGGAATAATGATGTATAATCTGTTTTCAGATTGTTTTAATTTCTGCATTGAAAATTTGGTTTTGAATTAGTACTTGAGAATCACTAAACTGTACTTTTAAAAATTTAAGAACAGAATGTTACGATGGAGCAATGTGAAGAGAGATGTTACATGGAATGTAATTTAAATGATTCAGAAGTTGTAGGCCAAAGTGTTCGCTAAAAATGTGGATCGGTGAGCCCAAAGGCAAAGGTAAGTGCTGGCTAGTCAGGGTTTGTCAGGCTGCTGGAGTCAGGGCTCTGCCAGGATCCACGTGGCTGTCACAAGTGGAAACTAGTAGTTGATCCAGACCAAATCCTTAAATCTGCATGCCAACCAGCTGGAGGAGGGTGACATTTTAAAATACAAAAATCTACACCAATTCCAATAGCTGTGAGAAAACACCACTGTTTTCTCTTGAGGAGCTCTGCTGCTACACTGGAAAAAGTATGGATTAACAAGCAATAAGAAGTGGTGAAAGTAAGAACCAAAAAGTAGCATGGAAGTTGATATAACATGGCAGTACAAATTCCTTGTATCCCCCTTGAAAGAAAAGACAGTTGCCTGAGCTGCTCTTCTTTTTGCTTCTGTCCATCTGTCCTTCCTCTTCCCCTCCTCCTAGTTCATCTGTGTGGGATATGATTACTCTTTTTGTGCGTAGAATTTGCCAAAGCGGTTGGCCTCATCTTTATTTTGCTAAACCTGTAAAGCTTCAGGCCTACCTGTGGCATTAAACAAATAAAATACAGCCACCAAATAGGAAGGAGCTTGTTTTCTGCATCTTGTTCAGCTGTGGGCCAGGACAGGTGCCATACCCCTGCATTGGCTCTTCTTTCTGGTCTCTTGTTAGGGGCCACAGTACTGGCAAGAAACATGGCTGTGTGTATTGCTCTGTCAAAGGTCTATCCAAATTTGATACCAGATGCCCTCCAGAGGTTCCTTCCAACCTCGGCCATCGTGTAATTCTGTGAATTTTGGGTCAGGCCCTCAGCCAGCATGAGACAGCGTACTTCCATTAACTTCAGATGACCCTACACCGACTGATAGCAATTATG